ATCCTGCAATTGTTTTATTGTATTTTAATCTAAAGATATATAGATAATATATGATATATAATAGCTAATTTGGTAATAGTGCCACATTAGCCACATTATCCTTAAAAATATTCTTCCAGAATATTTCTTGGTAAATTATCTTAAATAAATCATATATATAATTTCATATTTATTTTCTCTCGAGGATTATTTTTGAAAAGACTTCTTGAGAAGATGTTTACGACACAAGAAATCACTGATAATAAGAAAAGGGCCAATTTTTGTGATTATTATCCCATCGACCATACTGATGTATACATACAAAAGGACTCTTCGAGAAAAATCTTGAATAAATAAAGGAAATAATGAATAAATCAATAAGAACTATATATACCCCCATCGGGTGTACAGATTAATTTGCTCATATAATTGAATAAATATCTTTTCTCTTTCATAAATTGTAATATTATTGTAAAAAAAACATGTTACTTTTTATCATATTATTTAATGTTTATTATATATTTATACTCAAAGTACATTAAGTAATATGATAGATATCTAATGTAATTTTTTTAAATTTAAAAAACATTTTTAGTCGATACCTAAATGTTTAATATACAAAGTTATATTTGTATCACGATGAATTTTTATAGCATCCTCGAATTTAAAGGAGACACTTCTGTTGTCAAGAAATTTTGTGGTTAAACGCAACGTGACGTATCGTAAAAATTAATGCGCACAGATACCTTCTGTTAAGAACTTTTATGCGCGACTCTGCGAGAGAAAGAAGAGAGAGTGTGAGCAGAACCAGCATTATTAAAAGGACGTCAATGAGAGTCGAGCATCTAGAAAGAAAGAGAGAGAAAGAGAAAAAGAGACAGAGGAGAAAGAGAGAAGGTGACTCGTTCCCTTTTATCCGCCCACTGTGGGTTCGTGTATGATGTACGATTTCCTGTCTTACGAATCCATACAATAATAACGAAATGTCAGGCGTGTACATGCGATTTACTATGCGTTACCATACGAAGGTACGACACTTTAGATAATGACCTACACAAAGTGTGTGCTTTAATTCATTGCGTGCATACGCGAATGAGAGAAAAAGATTTCTCTCGCACACGAAATCCGCGTAAGCAGCACTTTGAAGCATTAAAGCAAAAATGTAATGTTGATGAAGACATTTTCATACACAAAGGACTACATTAAACATAAATCTCTGCAAGCTTTGGATATTCTTTAAATGAGAATCAGCTATTATCAAACTTTTAATCGTTTTAATCGTCGATGAGAGGCGTTTCGGTCCCTTGACCTGATGATGTAACACGCCCAATTCAGCAGCACTACCGATGACCCGCGGAATTAAGAGTTATCGGTTCTTCAATATCTTTCTCGGCTCGTGTTGAGCGACTCAATACGCGCGCTTTTTCTCCCTTTCGTCCTTTTATATTTGTATTATTTTTCGCAAGCGGCACCGTCTAGAAAATATTAGACATAGAAAAATATATTTATGAAATAATTATTATTTTTAGCATATAATCTTCCTGTCCAAGAGTGGAATTAAATTATTCCGTCTGTACAGAATATACGATGTACAGAACATGGCAATCAAAAGTTTCTCAAAAATCAGTACATTCTCAAAATATAAGAATATTTCAAATGATAAATGATATAAGAATATTTTAAATGATAATGCGTGTCTTTAAAATCTAAATTTCTCTCTAAAAGTTAAAATTTCTCTTTCTCTTTCTCTGTCAAATGCTCTGTACGATAATTTTCGTGTTTATTATAACAGTCGAAATTTCGTCTTTTTTTATAATGTTGAAATCGTGTTGAATTCCTAAATGGCAGTTAAGTTTCTAACACGTTAGATTGCTTGTGACAACTTTGTCTTCCGTTAAATTATAAATATTAATTAAAAAATTGCTTTTTATGACGATGAAATTATTTATACAAATATTATAAAATAAATATATCTAATACAATAGTTGTTATCACAAGATTCTGAGTCAATTCGCGTCAAGATCACCGATCTTGCAATCGTGATTATCAATGATGACAGCCAGATCCGACGGCAAGATCTAAAATCGCGCATAAACTTGTATCTCGAACGTAATTTCGAAGTCTTATCGATATTTTAAGATATGAATTGAATTTAATTTTTATATTATTTTTAATATTAAATCCGAAAGTTTATGTATATGATATTTATATACATATGTGTACACAATGAATTTGTTAAAGTATTCTTACATATATTTCGTTATACCACATAAATTGAAATTTTGCCTGTATTTGCCGTCGATAAAACTCGTAGATCTTTCTATTCTCTCTATCATTTCTCTCTAAATTTATTTAATAATTTAATGTCTAGCAAATCAATATTCTCCTGTAATGTTGTTTAAAATTTCCATCGGTTTATGGGTTTCGATCCCATCAATTCGAAATAACAATAGCGGATTTATTATAAATTTTATTAACGTTGATAACTTTGTTATTTTTTGTATGCTTAGTTATTTATACTTATTGTATGTTTTATTGTATATTTATTGTATATTTAAGTATAAGAGTTGTATATATTAAAATATTACAAAATACTATTAATTCTTATAAGTAAACAGAAGAGAAGATACATATTTGTATTGAAATCAATTTGGATAACAAAAAAATTGTATATGCGATTTATGTGTATAAACATAATCATAACAAATATCATACTTATTAATGTATATCATACTTATTAAATATTGTCTTCGCTTTATCGAGTATAAGTAAAAGATTCAAATATCATAAAACATTCATCGTTTGACGTCTGACAAAATTGACGTATTGAGAAGCACATGTCGATATTTTTCGCACATTAAAGCAAATTATTGTTTTATTATTATGTTTTGTAGCAAAGTTATAAATGTCTGAGTTATAATATTGTTGTTTTCAACGTGGTTAATAGTATAGAAGGCTGTATAGCAGATAATTCGTTAGTTGCTTCTATTATTTTCTCTGTCAATATCATTACGTGATATATATATATATCACTATTTGCAGCAATTAGTTAGAAACGAATTAATTTAATTAATAATTACGAACTTAACAGCAAATAATCCGTTCTAAGAATTGCTATTATGGGTTAAGTGAATACAAGCTACGGGTTGCGTTCGAGCTAAAGTAATGTGAGTATGTCTTGCTTAATTTTAATATTTAGTTAATAATTCTTATATTTTTCGAAATATCGAATGGATGGCTCAATTGGTAGCATCGGGTCGATTGCAATTTATGCAATTTTAAGTGAAAAATTTGGTAGTGAAAAATGAGTAGCGAGTTTTACTCTAATTTTTTTAACAATGATGGTCCTATAGAAGCGCATTCATTAGCGTAAACATTGACGTGCGTTGGAGATATATCAGGCTAATATTGCATGAATTGCAATACTGATATTGGAAAAGTAATTATTCTCCCACCCCCCCACCTCCCGGAAATAATCGACGTTAATGACTTTTAAGGAGATTCTCGCGTTGAAATATAAGACAAGTCTATAATATGTATATAAAATACAAAAGTTAATCGTATTAACAATATCTAAAAAAATTTCATTGACTTTTACCGTACCGTTTTGAAAATATTTAATTTCTAAATTTATAAAATGTTGCAGGTAAACGCGTAACTTTATCCTGTAAGATATTTCCTTTTAAATTGAGACACTTATATAAGACAAATTTAAAAATCGTTATTAATTACAAAGTAAACACATTCAATGGAGAAAAGCAAGAATATTGTCAAATGAATGATGCGTGTACATCAAATGAGCATCTTATAACTTTTATTTGGTCATTTAAAAAACATTTAATATTAAAATCAACAATTATTATTAGTCCGACCGAAACTTTTGCCGAAACTGAATCAAAACACTCGGCTACATGTCAATTTCAATCGAAACCGAAATTTCGGTTGTCAATTTTGACCAAAGAATATAAGTACTTCTTCTTCGTAAACATCATAATTTAATTATTAAAACAATAATTACACGTATTAAAATTAATATTTAGAAAGAAGAGCTATATGGTTTTAGTCGAAATTGATACGTAATGAGGTTTGTTTTCGGAAAAAATTTCGGTCGGATTCTAATGATTATATTTACTGGCATTACAACGAATTAAATATTCAATAAATTGTCTATTAATTAGGAAATAGAGCTAAAATCTCCTTAAAAATGTTCTTTAAAACGCTTGCATTATTAATTACGATCATACAAAGGTACCGATAACGTTTTCGTTCACGAAAGTTTGAACGGTTGCGATCGGATAACCGTGATCTCAGCTTTGCGTTTGATTTCTATCGTTATCAACAACGCGCGAAGTCCACGAAGGTCTCTCACAAGCCACATTCGCGTGGTGACAAGAAATTTAATAGCTAGTCTAGAAATACAGGTTTCGTCGTGCTGATCTTAAAACTCTTAAAGATCGATTATCATACATACAGTCGCGCGAGGAGTGTGTTTGGACCGGTGTTAATACCAGTAGCTGTACGAGTTAGTGTTCCTGCTAATAGATAGAAGAAAAGTGCGACAAAAAGGAAAGAAAGGGATAGAAAGAAACGTCGAATGACTCGAGAGTGACATAAACTGTGTTTCTTGCGTTTGTCAATGCACGTGGCGTTGCAAGAAAAATCATTGCAAGGAGAACGTCGGAAAAGACAATTCCGAATCCACTTTGAATCTTCGCGGCAAAGTGGAAGATATTCGCGGTCTTCAGAGAAGGGGGGGGGGGAGGGGAGGAAGAAAGAAAACATTCCCTTGAACCTTCCATTCGATTTCGCGTCATTCAGAATCAGTGTTGCCAGATTTGCTACATTTCTAATTACATTGGTACCCTAGTACCACATTGCAGACAGCAAATGAAAGAGATAAACAAAAATTTGTGGTACCTTTTGACTCAATCTGATACATTTTTGTCATTTAGTTGTTACAATTAACTTATTGCTTCTGGTAACACTGTTCAGAATGCTCGTCGCAAGTACTCGGACATTACCTGACGGCGGCGGCACGTGATGATGATGATGGTGAAGATGATGATATCCCAGGGCGGGCGGTGGCGGTGGGTAGACCGCTCCCCAGATGCAGGACGCAGCCGCCGCGGTCGCCTGCTGCTGTTGCTGGTGATGATGATGATGGTGATGCTGCTGCTGCTGCTGTTGCTGCTGCTGCTGCTGCTGCTGCTGTTGATGCTGCTGCTGCTGCTGTAGTAGCTGTTGCACTTGCGCAATGTCCACGAACTCCTGCAGCTCGCCCTCGGCGGCCTCCGGCCTGGCATCGCGCGCCCGGCCCTCGACGGCGGCGGCAGCGGCGGCGGGCACCACCGCGAACGGATTGCCATTGTTGTGCTGGAGGTGCTCGAACCCCGCGAGCGGATTCGCGGGCTCGTAATTGCTGCGCCCGGTCGTGTGTTCGCGGCGCATCGCGAGCGCCAGCATCTTTTCAACCTGTCCCGTCGCCGGTCGTCGTCGCGGTGCCGATCCACGTGATCCTCGCGCCCAATCTCGCGCGCACCGCCGACTCGCGTGCCTTCGTCGACGACGATGCCGTGGAGAACGTGGGTGAACGCACGTACATGTCACGGCGCCGCTAAGACACCCTCGCTACCCGGGATTACTCCAGTCATTCGCCCGTTCCCGCACGGAGTTCAGTTCGCGCCACAGTAAGAATTTCACGAGAACGAACGGATAATACACTTGAGCTGAGAGACATTCGGTGATTTCCTCGATCGTAAGGCAAATTGGACGTGGAACACGCGGATTTGTAGCATGTGATCCACGCTATCCTTCAGCACGAACAATTGCTAACGTCCTCGGGGAGGATAAGACGCCAAAGGACTCTTATCTGCTGTTATATATTCCGTATCCGTATGAGAGTTTGCGAATCGATTGCGTGCGCTTCCTCAATGCATCTAACTGTTCCTGATTATGTTTTCGAGCACGTGGAACCCGTATATGGTCACGCGAGCGAAACTTTGCTGGACATTAAATTGTTCTGGAGCAATTATCCAATAAATTGGTACTTGGTCTCGCTCTCCCTCGAATGGTATCGCGTTGAACTAGAATCGCTTGAAGCGTGCCGGAAAAGGATGTTCTCGGAGCGTGGCCGATAAACGAACGCGACGTACCGGTACGAGTGCTGGTCGCACTGTATCACCGGAGGATACCGCTCTCTTGCTCTTCCTTCGTGTTCCTCCAGCGCATCGACCTTCCGCTCTCTTTGACACGTTGGCCCCACCTTCGATTCTCTTCCTTCTCGCGCGCCTTCGGCTCCTTCTTCTCTTTCGCGAATCCCGTCGCACTGTCCTCACGCGCCGGCTCCTATTATCACGCTTAGGCTGACTCGCGTCTATGGTCCTCTCGTCGATCCTCTCGTCGATCCTCTCGTTGATCCGATGGCCGATGGCCAATGGCGGTGCGCGGTGCGAGGTGAGGAGGACTTGAGGAGAGAAACCCGTGGCGACGAAGGCGAGACCGGGCGAGGCGACGAAGGCGAGACAAGGCGGAGAGAAGCGTAGAGAAGCGACTAAAGGGGTTCAGCGATGGCCCGCGCTAGACTAATAAAGCGTGGCTCGCGCGCGAAGCTGTCGGGTGCCTGGAGAGCGCGCTCGCACGTTCGCGCGCTCGTGCACTCACGCGGGCGAAGAGACGCGGAGAGGAGAGGAACCCTCTCGCCGATCAGAGGCGGTTTGTGATGTCGTTGGCGCGTCGTGTCGCGCGCTCGCGCTCGCGCTCGCGCTTGCGTTCGATTCCCCGCGACGTTACGCCGCGCCGTCGGCCCGGGCGATGCGATGACGAGATTCAAACGGCAGCGTCGTCACGCTTCCTCTCGCGGGTTCTCTCTCCCTCCTCTCTCGCCCTTGTCTCGCCCCCGTTTCTTCCACGGGTTCCGGGCCATTCGTCTCTCCCGCGTGGTCTGCAATCTCCATTCATTCCTTTCCCCCGCCACCCTTCGCGTGCAAAGGATGTCTTCCCTCTTCTCGTGTATATACCTTCTCGCGCGCCGTATTTCCCCCGTTCCCCGATCCGAACCTGGTACATCTCGCGGTGTCCTCTCTCCATCCGGCTATCCCTCCCTTTGGTACCGACGACCGGCTCCACGTTCCCTTCCTCGAGGTATACGATAGCGTCTCTGTCTCGTCAATCTTTCCTCTTTCTCAGTGCCCCGAACGTTTGAACACCAACGCGTTCATCGCCGGTACCACAACCGACGTTCGCCGGGTGACGTCACCGGCGTGGGCGCACCCCCATGCAAGAGAAAGAGAGAAAGGAGAAAAGAGATGGAAACTGAGAGAGAGAGAGAGAGAGAGAGAGAGAGACTCTTTCTCCCATCTCTCTTTCCAAGCATGTCTTCTTTTCTCTCATCTCCTTCTCTCTTCTTTTATCCCCGTGAATTCCACTCCTCCGCTTTCTATGGTCCGAGTTTATCTCCTTTATCTCTCTCCTTTCTTGCTTTTTGCACGCGCGTGCCGGAAGACACCTAATCGATCGGTGACACAACGCAAGGAGTCACGGCAGAACAGTGCCAAAAAAAGGAAACAATAAAAGTTTCACGTTCATCAATGATTTTTAGTGATAGATCGAAACGTACGGGGATCGGGAAGGACCATGGATGGACGATGGACCGGGATGAAAGTCCACGGAATCGCCATTCGACAAAGGATTCAGAGGTCGTCGACCTCGTAGCTTGAACCTATTTCGTTCTCCGAGTGGAAATGGGCAGTAGCTGTTCAGCTTTTGAAGTCAGTTTACCCTCAACAAAATATGCAAAGCTGACTACACGATCCAGGATATAAATTCTTGAATTATCGTGAAAAATATAATGAGCGAATGATGGGAAAGCAAGAAACGATTGATCGGTAACCGAAAAGTTAGAGTTAAAGTCGATGATGGTATCCATTAAAGATTGTCAAATATGGTGTCGGCGGAAGTCGACGATGGCCAATGTCGATGACGACGTCGAAGGCTGTGACGATGTCAACGTCGACTATGACGACGATAATAAGAGACGCGATGACGATGACAACGACTAGCGACGGAAACAACTACGACAACACGAATCACCATGGCGGTGGCATAGTCACAAGCGTTGCGCGCCATATCGGGTAAGACTGTTCTACGTGGGCTTAACATCTATCTCGCCGTCTCCCACCCCTGGCCTCACGTTACCGAGCAAACACACCTTTTTAGCGGCATTTCATTAATATCATAATGGCAATGGAGATCAAGCGAATGAGTCGGCCTGCCCCGGGGGCAGACTTGGAACCAAGAGGCGCTTCTTCGTAGCCAACGCCTCTCGCCGTACGCTAACTGTCTCGCGTTCGAGTAGATCATTTGTCTTCCTCAGTAAAGTACAACTACGCATGTTGTAGACCCCAGCGATTCTCCGCTGGGCACGAGTCGCTCTCGCGAGGTCGCGAAATGATCCTCCACCAAGATATTCCTTTCTTTAGAATATTTTGTAAAGATAGACTTTTGCATTTAACTCGTTAAATTAAACTATTTTTTTATTGTACTGCAATATTATATATAATCCATAAAGGAACAAAGAATTACAATCGCAATATAATGTACAGAAGGATTCATATCGCAATGTTGACACAGAATAAGCAGATATTGTTTCCTCTTATAATTGGCTGCGTTCAGCAGAAAAAGCAGCTTTGCAACTGTCGTAAAATTCTTTAACATAATCTTGCTCTTAGTTTCTCACTGGATCTAAATGTATAAATCAATCACATTCTCAGTTGCAAAGCTGCTTTTTCTGTTAAACACAGCCTTTTTTTTACACACTTCATACACTTTGCACTCTCTTACGTTTTGACGAGACATTCAGATTTTTAAATATTGATATAAAATTTTTAGTGACGATCATTGGATCTAATTTGAAATAGGAGATTTTAGATGAAAAAATAAAACTAGCTCTATTCAAAGGTACACAAATTTTCTGCAGATTTCTCCAATGTTGGAAACTGTTTACAGCAACTGTTTACAGCATAATTTACGAACCCTCAAATAAGTCGTTACATTGTAACCGAGCTCGTCTATTGGCAGTGCGTGGAATGACGACTAAATTAGGAGAAAAAAAAACCTGTCTACCGAGCGCGTAATAGTCGATTGGGCTATTACGAACAATTCGATGAGATAACTCGCTTGGGATTACCGAGCCTTCTTAGCGCGCCGGTTCTATTCAATGAGTTATAGATAAAGTACACGTTCGCGCGCGCGCGCTGGCTCTCGAACCACCTCATCCTGACTAATTACGGCAAAGCCACGAGCGACACCGGATTAGCATTCCGGTCGCCTTAGATACGAGAAGTTGCGAATGAACGTTACCTTCGCGCCGCAAGAAGAGGGGAGGACGGTTTCTGATTCTGACTGTAGTATATCCGCTCTCTCCTTCTCCTCTTTTCCTCTCCCTCGCTCTCCCTCTGAGAGACATAATTCGAAATTGTCGGCTGGGTCAAAGAGCAGAACTCGGCTACTTAAGCGAGTTGACTCTGGTGTTCTTCGGGGTCACGTGCCACAGCTTCTTCTTCTCCTGCTGTAATCTCCTATCGTTGCCCTTGTTCTTACTTCATTATCGTATGGAAGAATTTTGACTAGAACGGATTAACATTAACGTCACGGCATTCGTGTGTACTTTCACGCTAGTAATTAGTGTAACAACGCAAAATTACATCCATGATGATATATATAAATTTTTTTATAGATAGATTATTTTCTCTTTCTCGTACAATTAGCTGTAAATATAATAATAAAAATGTACAATACCAAGAATTACAAGATGTCCTAAAAAAGAATCATTTAGTAAACATTATCAAAATTTTTTACTTTAAAGGTGAATAATGATCACAAAACGCTTGTGAGTAAAAAATCTTTGATCAATGTAGACCAAAAAAATTAAGTACATACTAGATAGGGAACGGTTTCCAAAAATTCAATATAAGATTATAAAAATGATATTCCGTATTATCAAAGTGAAGAAATATTTTTATCTTCGACAAGATCAATCTTGCGTCATCAAGTCGATTGGACATTTCCTACTTACAGTCAATAGTTCTGCGAGTAGTTTACTCTTTTTTGTTGAATCTTTTTTTTTCCAATACTCTATATATAATTTATTTTGCGATCTGATATTGTCGCAAGTGCATTATACAGATCGCTGGCGTCGCGCTATTAGCCGTTAGCGTACGTGACGTACATTCTCCTACATTCTGCCATATCCTCCGGTCATTTACGACGGCCGAGAACACGCGGTCTTGGAGGCACAACCGTGCCGATCTGACCTCATCGGATGTGACTCTGATTTGCTCAATTCGTCCACGACGTTCCTTCGCTCGTACATGGTCGCGTACATCTCTCACGGGCGCTTCAATACACGGTCGTCTTGCGCGGAAAAAGAGCCTCTGCGCGATTGCTATCGTCTCTGCCTCATTATTCCATTATGATGGCGTGTGGCGTGTGCCATACCCCATCCGCCTCGCCTTCCCAGTGTTGACCGCTCTCCTCTTTCCTCTCCTCCTTGTTCTCCTCCTTTTTCGTATCCTTACTCTTCTCTCTCTTTCTCTCTCTGTTCTCTCATGTTCCTTTCCCCTCGGCCGTAATCTTCTTCTCTGGCGTTTTCCTCCCCATTCGTTTTCTCCTTCTCATTCATCCGTCGAACCATCTTGGTTCATGTTCCTCTCTGGCTTCCTTCGTACGGAGCACCGACGGAGAGACACCGCGTACACATCTTCGTGACGATGACGTGCGTGATATTACGCGCCGAGATACGTGGAGCCAACACCAACGAGAGAAGGAACGAAAGAGGGAGAGAAAGTGAGATGATGAGAGAATGTTACGAAGAAGAGAGAAAAGAAACGAGCGAGCGACGAGGAGGCGCAAAAGGTGGTATAGTGGGCGGGAGGAGGACAGGGAATGAGGGATGGACGGTGCAGGGACGAGGCAGGGCAGAGACTCTCAAATGGTTCGAAACAGGTTCCAGGACCGTTGCTCACTTCGATCCCTCGGTGGGTGGAGAACGAGTTACAGTACGCGCGCTGGCCACGGAAGACAGCTGGGTTTTGGTTACAGGCGTGCGTGGCGAGGCTGCGAGATGAGGAGAAGGTGGAGATAAAACAGGAGAGAAAGAATCTCTCTTTCAAGCTATATGTACGGTGCACGCGAAGTTAACGTTGACATTTTCTGTTATTGAAGAATTATTGTTAGCGGACTGTCTGTATCTACTAGAGAATACACGATAGATGATCTAGGTCGACAGTAGAATTTTCTTTGATACTCAATAGGAAGCAATGTCATCTGTTTCTAATTGATTACTGGGATAAATTATGTATATTCGAATCTTGCGGATGTTTTAGCTATTTTACACGAAATGCGGAATGCATTGTATGCGTTTAAAGAAAGACTGTGATAATTAATAAAAGTTTCGAAAATATATTTATTTGTTATTGAGACTGAGAAAAATTCAAAGCTATATTTTTATTACTTAATTTAATAACATACGAATTTTTGTTTATTTCTCAATTTAATTTCTCAAT